TTAAATTTTAAAAATATCTTTAACAGTGTTATTCTGTTCAATTATAGAAACTCAAAGACCTTAAAAATAACTTTAAATTAATTTCTTAAATTAGAAATTATTATCGCTTAATTCACTCCTAAATTGAAATTTATATTATCTCTCTCTCAATAGAAGAAGATCATTACTCCAGTATAACAAATATTTCTCCTTAGATATCATTTCTTTCTCAATAGTATCAAAATCAGTAACGTCTGGAAGATCATCAACAACTATTATATCTTCTATTGTTTTCTGGTCATCATGAACTTTTATGTCGTTGGTTCGTGGGAAAAAAGTTAAAAAACTTGCTCAATGTGTTATTAGTTAGATTGCCAATTTTATTTTTATTTTTTTGATAAATAATTCTAAAATTTTTTCAATGTTTCATGTTATTACGTTTTTTGTTGACCATGTTACTATTTTTTATTGAACATGCTATTACTTTTTTGGATGTTGAAGAATTGGAGGTTTTTTCCTTTGGTTATGAGTTTGATTGTTACTATTTTTATTTTCAATTTTGTTCAATGTTCCATAGTGCTATTTTTTTTGAACATATTACTATTTTTATTAAGCATGTTACTATTTTTTATTGAATATGTTATTATTTTTGTTGAACATATTATTATTGTTATTTTTTTTAAATATTAATATTGAATGCTACTATTTTTTTATGTTTAAACGTTACTACTGTTATCTTTTTAAAATATTAATATTGAATGTTACTATTTTTCTATATCTAAATGCTACTATTTTTTTGGTATTTAAATGATATCATTTTTTGTATTTAAATGATAATTTCTTTTTTGTATTTGAATGTTACTTTATATATATATACACACCCTATATATGAATATCTATATAATAAAGTAGAGTTAAATTTGAATTTTGAAGACAAATAGCGGTCAAGATCATTTTGAGACAAAACATAAATACATTCAACATACAACGTAACCCCAACATAAAATACAATTCAGATCATCTCATAAATACTAATTTGACGGTCTACAGTGAGTACTTAATTTTATTTTTCCACCCAACAACATTTCATTTTTTAATTATCAGGGCTTTTAACTATCCCCAAATCTCTCTTCCTCATTCTTTTATCACCATCGATCAAGCCCAACTTTCTTAACTCGCGTCTCTCTCTTCTGAAACCCCTGCCTTCCAAACACATCTACATAGAATTCATCTTAGTCTCACTTTTGCCTCTCTATTAAGGCCGACTTGGCCTGTGAAATTTTTTTTGGAGCTGGCTTGGGTAGTGTAGGTACAAGTCCGTACTCAGGCGAGTAGCGGACCGAGCTTCGAGTAGGGGTAAGCTACTTGTAGCCCAGCCCGTCACCTATTGGGCGGGCTTTGCAGGCAAGCTTTTTGTGCGAGCTTTTTTTGGGCCTATTGGGCGGGCTTTGTTGGGCGGGCTTGTTGAGCCTTATTGAAAAAATATATANTTTGCAGGCAAGCTTTTTGTGCGAGCTTTTTTTGGGCCTATTGGGCGGGCTTTGTTGGGCGGGCTTGTTGAACCTTATTGAAAAAATATATAATTTTATTTAATTTTTTTGTAAATTATATTTTTGAATTAAAAGTACAGTCAAAATCAAAATGAACAAAAATTAAACAGTGAATAATTTTATTTATGAACAGAAGAGAAATTGCATCACTACCGTTTATTCAAGTCTCCAACTTTTTTTTTTTTGAACAAAAGTCTCCACCTCTTAACATAAATCATATATGGGCGGGTATGAGCTTCGAGCGGACTTTGGACTTCAGATATATGGGCAGGTTATTGGGCTGGAAATTTGGCTGGATTAATGGGCCGATCTTCGATTTTGGGCTTAACTTCGGGTCGAATAATGGATTTAGGGATAAACTCAAACCTTTTTTTAAAAGATATTAAACTTGAGGTCAAACGAGTCAACTATTGAGCCTATCAAACTTTAGATCTATTTTTTTTTGACCGAGTAACGGGACTTACGTGTAACTCAGTCCATGGACCACCCCTACTCTCTATATGCTATCTCAAATTTTCTATCAATCTCAATTCCGAATCCCCTGTCTCTCACGCCTAGCTCTCCATCGCCAAACAACTGCCGCCGCCACCACCAAATCACATGCAGCCAATCACTTAATCACACACAACACTCAGCTACAAGCGGCAACTCACAGATGCAAACCCATCACAGACCACGTCCCTCTTAGCTTTCTCATTTTCCCCTCTTATCTTCCACCTCCACCACTATTGCTTTTGGGGCTGCTTATTTAGGCCTTGTACAATCACTTAGGAATTTGAATGTCTCAGAAAAGTTCTGTTTGAGCTCCAGATGTTCTGTTATATTCTTTTGATGTGATAGTATTTTGATCTTTCTAGCAGGATGAGATTGCGTTGAGATCATTGTTCCTCATGCTCTAAAGGTATCATCATGTTTCCTTAATTTTTTGATTTATTACTTTCCCTTTTTCTTTTCAGTTTGCTATTGCTTAATTTTTGAAGTGGTTAGTTGGTTTTGCGGGACACATGAGAGGATATTTATAACAGCTTAATCCATCAATAGACATGGGGCTTTTTTGATTGGAAGGTTGATGTGAAATGGTTTGGGTCAATTTGCTCTTATTTCTTTGAATTTTCAATGGTACGTACTTTTGTATATCATTATAACATTTAGTTTTCATTTTGTTGCTATGATTAAATATAAGAAATTTATATCATGATGATGATGATTTTTGCATCTGTGCCTTTCACCAACACTTGTTGCTTTATGAAATTTTTGACAATGACAGTTAATTTTTTTTGAATGGTTTTGTGTTTCATTGTTTCTGTGAATTCTTTCCCTATGTATGTATATTTATGTGACTGACATTTGATTAGTTCTTTAACATTCATGACATGGATGGTTGAATGTTCCTAAAGGCATAGACTTTAATAAAATGAGTTACTTTGGTGAAATTCAAGTACTTGCTGCTTTTCCTTTTTTAAGAGTCATTCCATTGACTTTAGTTTGATATAATTTATAGCATAACATGTGTTTGATGATATGTTTTCCATGAGTGTCTTTAAATTTGATTAGATCGTTTAATGATCTACATTCGTGATTGAGTTGCTTTTCATGTCATGCAATGGTGAAGGTGCGCCGAGTTCCATGGAATAGGTCATCATTGCAACCACAATTTCAGTGACGGAGAAAAACTACTTCCTTCAGTATACTGTTCTTACATTAGCAAACCTGTTGGGCGAAACCATTTGTCGTGTTTGTGATGATTGTTCAGTGAGCAACATTTTCCATTTGCCTTTTTTTTCTTTATGTTCAAATTATTGCTTTTAAAGTACCGTAAGAATGTTGGAGAAAGGTAACAGGTGAATTATTAAATCTCTCTCCTTTCGGAGAATGGTAATGGGCGAGACGACACACATCAACATTAATCAAATGAGTTATTTTGGTGAAAGGAGCCATGTCTGTTTTTCTTATTCTATGAGTTAATTTGTTCAATTTTTTTTATCTGATTTAGCAAGAATCTGTTTGACAACCTTTAATTGATTGAACTAATTGATCTTAACTGCATGCAGGTCCAATGCTTTTATTGTAGTCCATTATAGATCGTAGACAAGCATGGAATCAAGAAGATTCACAACCTTCAAAAGCTCATCGACAAATTGATTTATGATTTGTCTTGCAAAATATTCTTTAGTTAACCTTTCATTATTATGTTACTACAATTTTTGGTTTTGTCACTGTTGATTGTGTGCATTTATGTCCAACGTTTCCAAGTTTCTCTTTGGGTGATGCTGATAGAACATCTCGCTCTTTGAGTAATGCTATTTAAAAATTAAATTCTTATGTGGCTGTTGAATGTCCTTGATAGCTTATTTGATGACTTTCGTTAAAACTATCCTATTGGATGACAACTTTATTTCGANAGAAGATTCACAATCTTCAAAACCTCATCGACAAATTGATTTATGATTTGTCGTGCAAAATGATTTTTTTATTTTATTTATGTGACCTTTTAATTCCAATATTTCCTTTTTCTTGATTATTTGAATGGGATTGATTTGCTTTTTAATTTATGTGTGAATACACATGTTGCATGTGAATAGGTTAAATCCTAGCAGTTTAATAATGGGGGTCTAAGGATTAGTGAGTCATGATTATTGTTTTTTTTTTTGTTTGAAATATGTATGGGAAAATTCTGGGTAATATTAATATTGGAGAAACATCAAAGAGGCAGCCTTTTTTCACCTCGCGAGATGAATTGTTCGACAAAGACTATTATGACAAACAATTGCGAAAAAAGAAGCACGCCTCACTCTTGAACAGTTGTGGACTATTTACCCACTTTACATGGTGCTTGATTCGATAACACGTGGCAATTGAGAGAAGGAATAAAAGATGCCTCAATGCGAGAGGATTTTGTATATACTTGCTTGGTGGTTTCATTTTAAGGTTTACATAAATTTTGATCACTATAATTTATCGTTTTTGAGATTTTTACATTGGATAGAGGAATTACGAGTGTTTAGTGATACAGGTTCATGTAAACTATTGAAATTATTAGCTAACGCATACAAATATATTGATTTTTTTTTGTTACTTTATATCTTTAGATACGAACAATTACTAATAAACATGTATGAGAGAGAAAAATTTTTAATATTAGTTATACTCTTAAAATTTAGGAGTTTTTAATTTTTAGTTTTATTTCACTTCTAAAGAGAAGGGATAGTCTGATAAAATTAATAAAAAATAGACTTCATAACAAATCAATTTCTTTACCAAACTTAAGTTTAAATAAATCTATATAAGAGGAGGGACTTCCAAATTTCTCTAAATTCTATCCCCTAATCACATAGCTACGGGTCCAACACAAGCCCAATTCTCAATGAAGTTGTCAGCGAGAGGCCCAAACTTAGAGAATATCGTATAGTACTTGGGTTGGGCCAGGGTTCATTCTCTAACCCGGGAATTCAGCTGCCCTTCCCGCCTTCTCTCTGGCTTGCTCGCGACGGCGAGAAGAAGAAGAAGAAGAAGAAGAAGAAAGTGCCAAACATGGTGTCGCAACACGGCGTCAGCCTCGCCGTCCATCTCATCACCTCTTACTTTGGTGATCTCGTCGCTGTACACACTCTCTCTCTCTCTCTCTACATAACTTATATAGAGCCTTATGCACCGTTTGATTGCTGAGAAATTGAAATTCAAAATTTTCAATTATTTTGTTCAGTTTTCTGATCAATGAGACCGATTGTTATCAAATTTACTGTCGTATTTGACAAAATTTTCCGATTTTGCGATGTGTATAGAAAGTTTGCGAGTGTCTTCTACGAAAAGGAACCCTACCGTTTGCACAGATAATGCGATTCACAGAGCTTAGTAAAGGGAATCTCGAGAAAGCTCTACTTGTACTAATCCAACACAATTGTGTACAAGCCTTCGCAGTCCAACGAGAAGGTACTATATTTACTCTGTTCCTGTTTTCAAAACCCTAGAGGTTTCTGTTTGGTTTCCCAGAAAATGCTGGAAAATAAAAGAGTCTCAATGTTTGAATTTTAGATTGTAATAAACATTGCATATGATGTTTACCATCATTACGCTATCTCCTGTATTGGTTGATGTTAGGGCTTTGTTGACTATGAAAAATGAGCTCTTTTTTCGCTGTGTTTTGTTTCTTTATTTCTGCTGTGCTTTGATAATCAGACAGAGGATGAAGATGATTTTCGAGTAGTATTATTCATATTTCACGAATGTAGGTGCATTTGGAGAGGTGCCACGGGTTGTAACTCAGTACATGGTTATCTGTGATAACATACTTCATCATATGAGATTTCCTAAATTTCTGGCAATTGTGTCGGAGCAGCTTGGTAAAGAAGTGAGTTAAAATGGCTTTATAGTTTTGCTTTTTTGTTGGTATGTTTTGTTTGAAGTTATTGTGAATCTGCTTGTTGATTGATTGCATAATGGTTTTGGTTTTGGCAGTGTGAAGAGATTTTTGAAGGGTTGCTTCAACATGGAAGGCTTTCGATGAATCAACTTATTGACAGGCATAAGCAGACATCTATTCCAAGTGGAGGTTAGTCTCTTTTATTTGTTTTGTTCCAATGATTTTCATTGAGTATGTCATCTTCGATCACATTCAAAATTCAAATGCATCTGGTTTTAACTTTTGGGACACTAAATTTGAGGATTTTGAATGTGGAATTTATCCATATAAGTATTCATCTCTTCTTGATACAAATTGTAAATTGATTTTGGATAAAGATTGCATAAAATTTGTAGGAAGCCTTATTCAGTTACTTGTCTTTGTTGGAGAAACAAATGAAATGTTATTGTTGCTGGAATCTGGGCAAGCCCCTTCACTTGTAATTTTATTGGAATTTTGTGAATTCTGGTCTTGAGGAAGCAGTATTTGACAACCAAAGGGCCAAATCTTGCTCGGAAAGATATGTATCAAGTTTATGCTCAATGTATTAGTGGTTCGATCATCCAAAGTCAAAGAAAAAGGAAACTAGGATAAATAGGATGTTGACAATTGGGTGGTCAAGCTTATTACAGATGTTCCCTTGACTGGATTCGCTGTGGCATTTTTTCTTCTCTCACCCCTCCCACATTTTATAGAATTCCACAAAGAAGGGGAAATATTTTGTGCCTTCAAATGTAGAGTTAAATCATTGTTCTTTTCCAGGAAATTTTGTTGTGGATGCATTACAAGAAAGCTTTAAGAGACTTGTGAATGCCCGATTTGTGGAACGTTGTCCAGCTCCTGAACCATTCCTTGCCCCACCTTCTGAAGATGAAACTCCTGCAAAGAAACGAGGAGCCAAGTCGGCCAAGGTAGTTTCTTTTTCTTGTCAAGTGTATGAGTTGATAATAAATTTTTTGTCATATTTGTCAAATCGCGATTTGTATCGTAAATCGAAAATCGAAATTTGAGAATCGTAAATCGTAAGATTCAACACAAAATTTGAATAAAAAGAAAAAATAATAATACATATTTAAAATAGAAAAAATATTGAATATTGAACATTATTTCATTCTAAAAATAATTAATTGACATAAGCTCGTCGTCTAAATAGAAAGATACTAGTCTTTTGCTTAACTATTTTTACATTCAACAACTTGAAAAAAAAATTCATTAAATAACAATGACTATTCAAGAACCAAAATAGTGACATTCAATATATGTTAGGTTATAAACATGAATGGAAAAAGAACAAATAATAAAATTGATTGGGAGAAAACATATAGGCCAACATTTTTANCAACAACTTGAAAAAAAAATTCATTAAATAACAATGACTATTCAAGAACCAAAATAGTGACATTCAATATATATTAGGTTATAAACATGAATGGAAAAAGAACAAATAATAAAATTGATTGGGAGAAAACATATAGGCCAACATTTTTAAACAAAAAATTAGAACCTAACAAACTACTCATGAAAGAATTGAGAGCAAAAATCAACCGAAGAGCGTTAGCCGTGATCTTTAACTTTAGACAACGTAAGACGAGCTTTAGACGATGTGAGAGAGAGAACAAACNTTGGGAGAAAACATATAGGCCAACATTTTTAAACAAAAAATTAGAACCTAACAAACTACTCATGAAAGAATTGAGAGCAAAAATCAACCGAAGAGCGTTAGCCGTGATCTTTAACTTTAGACGACGTAAAGCGAGTTTTAGACAATGTGAGAGAGAGAACAAGCAAAGAGGTTAAGTTTTTATTAGAGCGTGGGTTTTTCTGCAAACAAAACGAAGTTGTTTTAATGTTTTAACGGACAAAACGATGTCGTTTTGTAAAAAATTTGGCATCTAGAAAAAGGTAATTGAATTGTGCGATTCATGCAATATGAATCAAATCGTACGAATTGTATGATTCTAGTGCGATTCAATTCTAAAACGATTCTCATAGAAGATACGAAACGTTTTGTATCTGTATCGAACCGAATTGTATGAATTGAATTGCGAATCGTACGATTTTGATAACTACGTTTTTCGCTTACTAATAAATATTAATAGTCATTATGGATATAATGTTCCCTTATGTTAGTTTTTTCCCTTATTTGTTGCTCTTAGGCAGTGGACTCGTTACTCTAATAAATTGGCAACTGCGGAATCCAGTGAGTGCCAACAGCTGTAACGGTGCTACTTCATAGGTGAATGATTGAGATTGCAGTGGCCTGTAATATTGTCTTGGAAATTCAGTTTAAAATGTCAATTGTGACAAGGACTAACACAATTGAATATAAGCCATTCTTGTACGGATGATGTCTATGAGGGATGGGGATGCTAGAATGGCCTGAGGTTTAAAGCAGTGCAGCATCCATTCCTCCGGATTGTATGCCAAAGACACACACCATTTTCTTAAAATAAAAGATGGAAGAAAAAGGAAAGTTCGATTGGTTTATTCTTCTTTTTCTTCTCATTTTTGTTCTTGTTTTAACATTATTATTTGCTAAGCAAATGCAAGTCTACTTTTTAATCATTATTCTTGCTCATATCTTATTGGAATCGTTCCATTTGAGTTCTTTGCTTACAAATTTGTGTCAATTTGATTCTGAATTTCTTCTTCTTATCCAATAGGACAAAAGAAAATCTGACTTTATGAGTTACACATTAATGCAGATCGCTGATGAATCACAGACTATAGAGCAACGTGCTTTAGCAGTAGCCTCTCCTATGGAATCAATAAGATTTTTTGTTGAAACAAATATTGGTACCGATGTTTCTGAACAAAAGAGTGAGGAAAAATCTATTCAAGTTGGGGAGAAGGTTAGTGTGATAATTTTTAGTAGAAGTTAGCTGGTTCAATCATTTGTTGATTGGCAACACTGTTATTTTACAGCGAAAGAATGATAGTATGGAGTCGAATATGGAAGCTTTGGCTTCAAATGGAAAGAAAGAAGTTCTTTGGCGAGNGTGTGATAATTTTTAGTAGAAGTTAGCTGGTTCAATCATTTGTTGATTGGCAACACCGTTATTTTACAGCGAAAGAATGATAGTATGGAGTCGAATATGGAAGCTTTGGCTTCAAATGGAAAGAAAGAAGTTCTTTGGCGCGTCAATTTTGAAGAGTTTATAAAGCACCTGAGGGATAAGGTTTGTTTCTTTACATATTTGTCAAAAGGATTCTTGTGTACCATCTAGTATTGTGATAAATGCTTGGACTAACAACTCTTGTGGCTTGAATCTAAGGACTATCATTTGTACAAAGAATTGTTGTATGTCATTGGTTTTATTCAACCCCTTTTCCATCTCTGCATGCCAGGTAATAATAATTAGATTTGTTTCTTATCAGTGATATGTCCGAAATAAGGAAACAGTCACATACATCCTGATGGCACAACCATAGATTGGTTGAACAGATATAATCAACTTTGGAAGCCTAAAAGAAAGAGCATAAATTTTTTGTCCAAAAGAAAGTGTGATTGGTAGCTTATTAGGATTAATTTTATTATTATTTAATTTAGGTGTACTAATTTGACTAGGACTATTAGTGACAGTTGGATTTGGGAATTATTATAGAGTATAAACATAATTGTTAGTATCATACGATACGTCACGATACAGAGGTAAAACGATATGAATCGGAGTTTTGTATAGTTTTTGCATAATATCGTCCGATATACGATACGGTACGTATCGACCAATACGAACGATATGCAAAGTCTCTATTTTTTTTTTTTTTTGATTAGAACGCACGGTAAATCANTATGGTACGTATCGACCAATACGAACGATATGCAAAGTCTCTATTTTTTTTTTTTTGATTAGAACGCACGGTAAATTAGCAAAATCAAAGATGAAGAGAAGAATTATCAGTCCACCAAACTTACAAATAGCAAAAATACCCTAGCAAAAGTAAAGCATACAAATTTTTGAAATTGGAAAAAATAACAACACTAACCTCTAAATTTCAGATGAAATTCTAGGTTGGTTTCTCTTCAGATTTTAGATAACACTTCTTCTTCTTCCTCGCAGGGATCCATTGCAAGAAACCCTAGAAAACACTCGGGCTCACGATCGCTTTGTTTCACGATCCCTCTGTCTTGCGATCCTTCTCTCTGTCTCAATCGTTCTCACGATCGCTCTCTCTCTGCCTCTCGATTGCTTTCGCGATCTTTTCCTCTCTCGTCTTTTTTTTCTTGATCAGGCACCTTCTCGTCACTGTGTTTTAAAATAGGGAGAATTACATTTAGATCCCTTGAGGTTTGTTACTTAATCACTTAAACCTCCTAACATTTAAAATATTATACACAGACCCCCTAAAATTTATNTCTCACGATCGCTCTCTCTCTGCCTCTCGATTGCTTTCGCGATCTTTTCCTCTCTCTTGTCTTTTTTTTTTCTTGATCAGGCACCTTCTCGTCACTGTGTTTTAAAATAGGGAGAATTACATTTAAATCCCTTGAGGTTTGTTACTTAATCACTTAAACCTCCTAACATTTAAAATATTATACACAGATCCCCTAAAATATTTATATCCGTTAATAAATTATATCTAGACACCCTAAAGTTTGCAAACATATATTTTATTATTAATTATTTAAAATTGCACCGTATTTTACAATACATGATACAATACAATACACTATTTTTAAAAAACGATATACCTTCTGATATATGATTTAACAACTATGAGTACAAGTAGGAAANATTATATCTAGACACCCTAAAGTTTGCAAACATATATTTTATTATTAATTATTTAAAATTGCACCGTATTTTACGATACATGATACAATATAATACACTATTTTTAAAAAACGATATACCTTCTGATATACGATTTGACAACTATGAGTACAAGTAGGAGAGGAATTTGAGAGTGTTATTGCGGAAACTTTTTTAGAATTTTAGTAGGAAAGTTCTAGTAGGAGACGTAGCCTATAAATATCGATGTAATTCTCATTATTTAGAGTAGAGTGTGATATTAAGAAAAGTATTTCTTATTGGAGAATTTTGTGTGTTTCTTGACCTTATCCTTGCAAGGATTTGGTATCCCTTATTCTCTTATTCTTCTTTTCTTTTCTCTTATTTCTTCACCTTCCGTCTTGCATCACATCCATTTCTGTGGTGACAAAACATTGATATATGTTGATTTTCTTTTACAAGCAATGTCAAAGGTTATAATTGTACTAATCCCTCAGTTAACATGGACCAAATTGGTTAATAGACACTTCCAATGTAAACCAACCAAGACATTGTTTTACTTGCTAGATTGGCAATGCTTTGGCATTTTATGGTAGAATTGATTTTCATTTGTTGAAGTATAAATACTTAAATTACACTCTCTCTAATAACTTAAGCTATTTGAGTAGATGGTTGTTTAATATGGTATCAGAGTAGGAGGTCTTCTGATCGAATCTCGCTACCCCTCTAATTTTTAAAAGATTTTCACGTGTCAGGCCCAAAATCTTGCCAGCACGTGAGGGGCATGTTGAAGTATAAATACTGAGGCTCTTCAAGGATGCTTGGTATGCATCCTTATGAAATTTCTGTAGGCGATCAAGATTTTGACTTTACAATACATAATCTATATGTATGCAGGCTTGCATTGCCAATGTGAGAGCACAATTTGATGGTGGAGCTGCCGTTGTTTTAAGTGCAATTCTGGAGGCAACTAGAGGTGTTGAGACTAAAGTAAAAGCAGAAAAGTCAGGTGATTCAATCTCATAATTTTTGGTTTTTCTAACCTTTCATTCTTGGTTATTTCTATTAGAAACATATATCCTGATTGTTGACTGTTTTGAAGTTCAACTTGCATGATGTGAATCTGAAAAGATAAAAATAAATAAACAAGTTGAGGAAGGGGGAACCTAGAAATAAGCATATAGTGTCAATAAAGCTGATTAAGTGGTAGGTTAACATTGGTGGTAGGTTTAGGATTGGTTTTATGAAGTGGTAGATCCTCATGGTCTCTATGATTGGACACGGTCTACATTAAGCTTGGATCTGATTGGTNAGCATATAGTGTCAATAAAGCTGATTAAGTGGTAGGTTAACATTGGTGGTAGGTTTTAGGATTGGTTTTATGAAGTGGTAGATCCTCATGGTCTCTATGATTGGACACGGTCTACGTTAAGCTTGGATCTGATTGATGAAAAGATACTTCAATATGAGAATGTACATCCGTAGAACTAGGGCAAAGCAGAAATGTAAGGGTTTAAATGTCTGTCAAAACTTTTATATAGGTTATGAAAGTAGTTGGAGATGCAGAAATTGTGGATTGTAATCTAAAATTTTCAAAAAAATGTAATTAGTTGCGATTGAAATAATAAAATTCCTTATAGGGAATTGAAAAAGGAGTGGAAATTTTTTTGGCATGTAACACACCGTTTTAGTAAGAATACTTGTATGAACCAGACTGTGTTAATGATTAGTTTTCGGAATTAACTCGGTATATATTCACAATTTATTAAAGAACTCTGTAAATTGGCTTATATTGAAATAAAAGAGTGCATAGATATTTATAGGCCATTTCATTTGCCCTAGGTGGAACTAGGACTGCAAGTTTTTGAATATTCCTATGATATTAATCGAATCCTGATTAGGGCCCCATGTGAAAACTTGTTTAACACAACTAAGACCATGTAGTAACCAATAATACACACTAGTCTCTGTCATACTCAGAAAATATATTGTTTCCTGACCATTCACGAAATAATATTACACCACGGAAAATAGCAGCCACAAATCTTATAGGGGAAAAGATAAAACTGAAATTTAATCAGGCAAGGTCCATGCCTTTGAAGTGCTTTGCCATTCTACTTTGGAGCAAATTCGACCTCAAATATTCAATGTCAAAAATATGAACCCCTCCATTCTGAACTTTTTTTTTTCATCTTAAATTGAAAGCTTGGAAATTTCCATTCTTTGGATTGTGAGGCCATATGTGTGCTTTTGAGGTCAAAATTATGACTTGAGTGCTTTTCAATCTTTGATGCACTATTAGTGGGGTGCATGTTGTGTTTATGGTTTTGATTTTATGGATGTTCTGTGATGTATCTTGTCAGGTTATGTTCAGTATTATTTTCTCTTTCATAAATTCATGTTTTGAGATGTTATAAGTATGATTTGTATGCTTAGAGGGAAATGTAGCTCAATTGTACTCTTGCTTTTATTGTTGGTTCCTTTGTGTTTTGTTTCCACTGTCATTTCTCTTTTCTGGTTTAGTAAGCCCTTTCTGATCTGCTTCATAAAACTTTGCAGTTCCCCTGTCCGTGAATACTATTTTTGAAGAGGTAATGAAGAGTGATGAAGGTCGTCGCACAATCTCAACCTTAGAAAGTGTTCGAGCTTCCCTTGGTCAATTGGGCTGTCAGCTTCCCATAATTGAGATAGATGAAACATATAGTATTGGTACTATATTGCCTTCCATTTTGTGTGGTTTATTTCTGCTTGAAAAGCTGTATCTTGTCAATGGGTTTGAACTCTACTAAAGTTTTGAGATATTACATTGTCCTTTTGTGTTAATTAACTAGCAATTATGTTTCTTGTACAGATCTAAAAAGAATTATTGAAATAGCTCAGGATGATGAGGTATTGACATTTTTGTCTTCTTTTCAGATATCTGAAAAGACTAACTTTATGAGCTGAAATGAAAGTCTAACTCCAGCCATTATCTTGCAGGTGGAATCCATTGTGTTGAAAAGATATGGGAGGGAGGCTTATAGGATATTCAGGTTACTGTCAGAGGCTGGTCGCCTACTTGAGACCGATAAGGTACCAATTATTGTTGACAAGGTGTAGATTCTACATAATGCAGGCTGCATCAACTGTAGTTGCATTATACGACAGTAGGATCATTAGCTTGCATCTCTACGTACTAATTTTATATATGCCCACTGTTTCCTTCCATCATGATCACAGTAGTAAACTTCTAATCTGTATTATTAATTCTCGTTAACATTATGTTGACTTGGCCAACTGTGGAGGAAATATATATTATTTGGATCCTTCTGTGATAGCATGGAGTTGCATGTGAATTCTAAAATTTGTTGGGCATAAGAAACAGTGGGTGCATTTTCTTGTTGATCTATCCTACTCCTTTTCCTTCAGGGTTGGGCAGAGGGAGGGTTATTGAATAGGAGAGAATTATTACTTGTTTGACATCAGCTNTTGCATGTGAATTCTAAAATTTGTTGGGCATAAGAAACAGTGGGTGCATTTTCTTGGTGATCTATACTACTCCTTTTCCTTCAGGGTTGGGCAGAGGGAGGGTTATTGAATAGGAGAGAATTATTACTTGTTTGACATCAGTTGGCAAAGTATGGGAAAAGTGTCATTCTTCGACCACTTGCTTCGTACATCAAAGCATTCTCTCATGTCCCATGCAGTCAACCTGCTAAGTATTGAACTGTAAGATTTGTGGAGGATGTTGGTGGTAGTTAATTGAAGTTGCGCAGACAGGTGAAGAGGTGGCAGCATGATCTAAGATCTACCTCTGCAAATTGGTCAACCTAAACTTTGGAATAAGCCCTTTATTAAGAATTAAAGCATTCATCAATTAATTGCTAAACAGTCCATGTGGTGGTGCTACTTTTTTTTCACTCTCTTGTGAAAGAACTTGAAAAATTAAGTTTTTAGTACTTTAAGACTTGTGCTCATATTGAACTTCAGAGGATAACGGGCTGAAAACTGGAAAAAAATGATAGATGATAGTGCCCGTTAAAAAAGTGGTGTAGTGGTGAAAGAGGATGTGCTATTCTCGTGGGAAATTGGGAAATACAAATTGAATTCATGTTCAGAATGGATTTGGAAATAGAATGAATTTTTTTAGATGTATCTTCTGCTCATAAGTATCTTTAACCTTCAAATCCTGTGAATTATATGGGAGGCTGCAATTATAATTCCATTTCCATACTGCACTACTTGTTATTCCGCGAAGCTTGCAATACACTAATCAAGTTGGTGTGTTTCTCTCTTTCAGTTAGCTCCATAGGTTTTTCTTGTATTGCCCTCTGGCCACTTCACTTGCATAGCAGCTCTATGCTTTCCCTTTGTGTTATTCTTATTATAGGCGGATAGACTTTTTATATGATCACTGCTTAATTTGCCAGCAGTTTTGCATGCTTATAATTTGATTCCTTTGTTTCGTAGCCTTACTGAGCCACAAATTCTTTTACTGGCATAAGAAGAAATTGTCTATTACCCTTTGCAATGTTGCAGTGACTTCTACTAAGATGACAATTTTGGTTGCTTTTTGTTTCCCAAATAATTGCCTGTTTGTATTATAGATGTATATGCTTGCGGGCATAAATATATAAGTTTAAGTGTTTGCATTCATGCACGAGATATATATGTACGTATGCTTGCGTGACGCATGTATGCACCCTATATGCAAATTTTGGGCTGGATACTGTCAGGTTTAGCTGATTGTTACTTGTCTTTGCTAACTGTAGCAACATGTTTGCTTCAACATGGTGTATGTTTCTACAGAAATGTGGTGGAGGAAAGAAACAATCTTACATTTTCAAGTTTTAGATAGTGGGTATTTGCCTTATTATAGATAGGAAATATTGTTTGAATAAACAGATCAAATTGCTCAGGAAGAATCTCTGTCGTGTATTATTTGATCCATTGTTTCAATTTGTAGATTTCAGATAAAACCTTTGTTGAAAAGAAAGAAACAGCCAAGATTCTTTATAGGCTTTGGAAAGATGATTACTTGCATATGGAGGTATTTATATTGCTTTTATTTCAAAAAATAAAAGATTAATAAGGTCTGATCTTTCAATTGATGAGAACAGCTTTTTTTTTTGCTCGAGTAACAAACTAATAGTTGGAAGGCTCTATTTTCTATTTGTTATACCTTGTTCTCCTTGCAGAAAGTTGTCACATATGGAGCTAAACAGTTGCAGTTTCTATTGTGGAAAGTAAATAAGCAATCTCTTTGGAAGCATGTTCTAGATGAGATGTACCACGCTGCCTTAAATTTGAGGCTACGAATCGCTTATGAGCAGGAAAAGGAAAAAGAGGTCCGTAATTTGTTACCACAGTTGCTTTTCTCCCGAAATCAAACATGATTTAACTCTTGAACCTAGTTACCAGTTCAGTCACTAATGGATTTGTAAGAGTAAAAAGAATAAATGGATCTTGTATTACCTATTGATAGAATACAGAGCACGCACCTACCTTACAAACCACACACAGACACACCCCCACCTTGTGGTCTATGAACCAACTATCAGTTCAGTGGTTTTTTCAGTGTCATAGCGGCCAATATAGAGTCAGTTATTGGATTCGTCTGAGCCGGCCCTTGAAGCTGAACCCATTGAGACCTAACTTGCTGAGGCCTTGGTTGAAATGTCTCTCATATCATGATTTGTGTTAATGTATTCAAAACTTCGTAGTTTTGTAGAGATAAAGTTTGTATTGAAACGGTAGTCAGTCCTGAGGGGAAGTGCTGGTTAAGACTACTGCCTTCTACTTAGAAACCAGATCTGTGAGACATGGGAGTCTCTCTTGGATCTTTAAAGACTTCCACCATATTTTCTTGTTGAAACTGTCCTTAATGTTGCTACAGCTGCGCTATCATTTGAATCATATTATTGAATTTTAATGCACCAACTTTCTCATATGACCACATTTGCCAGATTCTTCAGATACCTAGAGAAAAGCTTGTGGGAGAACTGGGCAAACGGTACAAGCGATTGAGAAAAATAAGGATTGTCCTAGAATCTTCCTTGATGAAGCTTGATGATGCTCTTATGCTCTTCCATGACTTCTAAATGTAAGGGTTCTCTCTCCCTCTCTCCCTCTCTCCTGAAATTTTAGGATTAGAATATTGTCATCCCTATTCCAATCATCTTCTTGTGAAGCTCCTTGCATTATTTGACAGCCAGCACTTTTTTCACAGGTTTTTTTTTTTGACAGGACTAACAATTTTGCTGGTAAATGCTGTAAAACTGTGTTTTTGGTTCTCCAATAAGATTATGTTGTAATAAACTATTGTAATTATCCAAATGCTATAATTAAAGAAGACAGTGGCATGTTTTAGTTATGCCTCTCTCTCGCATCCGTTCCTCCACACACATGCCATATGTTCCAAATAGGTGGAGAATATTGAGCTGACCACGGCACTTGGAAATCTAGGTGCCTACAGAAACTCTGTTTAAGATAGTGAGTTAAAACAACCCATATATCCTCCTAAAATTAAATTTTTAGACAGGCTCCAAATATAATACTCATTTTCACATGTTTAAATATTAAGAATTCGAATACTGACATGTAAAAAAAATTCACTAACTGATATTTTTCATCAGCATAGAGTCTAACCACAAATTCTAATAGAGTTGTGTAGGGGGGCACCAATGAAATGGTACCCTCACATTTTCAAAGCATACCATTTTAGATTCACGTCGAATCATAACATTTAATCAATTGAAACATATATTTATACATTAGTTCAACTCATTTATAAATCATGTCGTGTTCAAGGTAATATGCATTTAGACTAAAAACTCGAGACTAGGGATTTATAAGTTGTTTGTACACTAAAAAAACACTCAAAGAAAAGGTTAGCAAAACCAAGTGAAAATAGCTGTAATTCCACAAAATATCCTTCATAAATGTTTTAGAAAAGTAGAAAAATCGAATATCTTATTTATACAATACTAACTAAATACGTCTGCAAGTCAAAATTCAGTTTTTTTTTTTTAATAATACTCAAATCTTTTTATTATTCATGCTTATTTTTCTTTATATTTTTTTCCATTTAAAAAATTAATTACCAACAATTTATTAATATTGACATTAAATTCATGTGTTGTCAAAATCTAGGATAAATATTTTTTGCCGGCTTAAGTAAAAGGTTGCGGCAAAAGGGGCATATCATATGATAAATGTTTTAGTTGGTCGTTAGTAGCAATTGAAAAATGCAATCCAACCACGTATAGCGATTGAAAGAAGATGTTGTTTTCAGTACAGCATCACGAGTGACATATGCATCAACTCAAAACCCAAAAAAAAAAAAGAAAGAAAGAAAGAAAGAAACCACCAAATCCCATCCCAGGGTGGCTGCCACATTCACATGTGTTATCCGTGCAGTTCAGTCCTCAATACCTTACCACCGCCAACACCAAAAATCGAAAAACAGTATCCCATGAAAAACAGTACCCACATAAATTGACCCATCATATTACATGTGCAGATGTGTCATAAGTTGGACAAAACTCGCCGTGTCTATTTAATAATNAGTTCAGTCCTCAATACCTTACCACCGCCAACACCAAAAATCGAAAAACAGTACCCACATAAATTGACCCATCATATTACATGTGCAGATGTGTCATAAGTCGGACAAAACTCGTCGTGTCTATTTAATAATTATTATGTTCATGCAAAAAAAAATAACCATCATGTATAAAAAAGTGAAGTTTAAACTCCATTTTTAGATTTGTTATTAAATGGTGGCATTGATACCACGTAAAAATGATGGTTACGTGGTGTTATCGTTACACTGAATATTTACTTACGTTAAAGATTCTAAATCTGGTTAGTAAGATTCCACGGATCCAACGTCAGTCAACATTTATTTGGATAATTTTCGTCTACGATTGTTTGAGGCAAGGGAAATATGAAAGGTTGAAAAATGGAAAGTAAAAGGGAATTAATTTTCTTTTTTTTCTTTTCTTTTTTTGATTTGACACAGTTGTTGATATCGCTCAAGTGGTCTCAATTGGAGATGAAATTTCACGCGTTTATAGATTGAACGAGATTCAAGCTAGAGAAATGGTTGAATTTGCCAGCGGTGTGAAAGGAATAATCTTGAATCTTGAGAATGAGAATGAGAATATAAGGATTGTTTGTCTTTGGTAATGAGACTGCTATTCAAAAAGGAGATCTTGTCAAGCGCACCGGATCTATTGTAGATGTTCCTACGAAAAAGGCTATGCTAGGGAGTGTGGTCGACTCGTTGTGAGTATCTATTAATGAAAAAAAAAGACTCTAACCGATTACGAGTGAAAATATATCAAAGTGAAAATCCTTGAAATTATTGAACATAAGTCTGTGCACAAGCCTACGCAAATAGGGTTAAAAGTGGTAGATAATCTGTTTCTATAGGTGGTGGTTAACGAGAACTTATAATTAAGATCACCAAATTTTTTCTATAAACCTAAAAAATTGATCCAATTTACAAATATAATAATGTTAATCTCCTCTGGAAACTAAAACATGGTCCTTCCTTTACAAAATATGGGGTCCACATCACTTCATCATGATGTAATAACTATTCTTCAATTTTTTTTTTATCAGATATTGCCATATCAAAATCTATATAAAAAGGCAGACAAGAGTCTGAATATTGTCCTCATGTATTTTTTTTGCTAATTTTTATCACATCATTCATTTTTATAACAAATTAAGGTATTTAATTTTTTATTAATTTATTACTCAATACAATTTTTATTTTAGATATTATTTGCATAAGATAATATACACGAGCTGATATTTCTTTTAAAATCATATATTTTGAAAAAAATTGCCAATTTTTTTAAAAAAATAATAGGTAAAAAATAATTTTAAATTATGTAATTAAAAAAAAGATGAGAAAATATTATTTGATATAATAATATTAATTTTTTAATCGTTCGAATTTTATGTAGCATGTGTTATGGCTAGTGATAAAATATACTGGATTTTTTTATTTTGGACCAAAGACTTATTATTATTTTTTATTTACTATTTTGCTGAGCAAAAACAAATACAGACATAGAGAAAACTAAATACAAATAAAGCTATGCTTCACCGGGTCTTCAATGTCAGCTTAGACAGTGGTCCTGAGTGCTTGTGAAATTACGTTCGCCGACAACTGTCGTGAGTATTTTATTGTCATTCCCCATTTTGCCAGTTCATGTGCAGGTATGAGACACAGTCCAATCTAGATAGTTACCAATCAGTATGACCAAAGACTTGTTAATTGTACCATACTGATCGTCTTACAGGGAAGAGCATTTTTGCTACTTTAATCTATAACATTTTTCTCCCATTTTCTTCCTTGTATTAAGNGTTACCAATCAGTATGACCAAAGACTTGTTAATTGTACCATACTGATCGTCTTACATGGAAGAGCATTTTTGCTACTTTAATCTATAACATTTTTCTCCCATTTTCTTCCTTGTATTAAGATAACAAATAAAAAAATTCATTCTCTCTTTTGCAAACACTACAAGGCGAGAAAGAAAATACATTTACTTTCACGGGGGACGGAAAGTCTATTCATCTTTTTAAGTTTTTCTTCCCAATCAAACATAGCATTAGTTTTCGTATTGAAAATTCAAATATAGCTTAGTCTCTCTCTCCAATCTTCTCCTCACATGTGNTCTTTTGCAAACACTACAAGGCGAGAAAGAAAATACATTTACTTTCACGGGGGACGGAAAGTCTATTCATCTTTTTAAGTTTTTCTTCCCAATCAAACATAGCATTAGTTTTCGTGTTGAAAATTCAAATATAGCTTAGTCTCTCTCTCCAATCTTCTCCTCACATGCGAATCACATTGAGCTTAATCTCTTTTAAGTTTCATCCACGACTCTCTATGCGCTGTATTATGTTTAAAATCATGTTTTACAAGAGTTTATTCTGTAAAAAAATTAACTTTTACTCCACTTTTTATGAGAGAGAGAGAGAGGGAGAGAGGGGGGGGGGGAAAGAAGAGAGAGAGCATACTTCTTGCAAAAAGACAAGCATGCATGCACTACATGCTTTTGTGTGTTTTTCATTGGAAAGCAACTACTTCAAGGGCCAAGGCTGTGCTACCCAGAAAAAGGAAAGGAAAGAAGAAAATAGAGGGCATGGCAGTTGTGGAAGAATTTTGGCATGTCATAGCACAATTTTCATGATTATTCGTCATTGCTTTCCACTGGCGTGATATCGTTGAGAGAATTCTTTTGATATCTAAGTCAAATTAAGAAAATAAGACGAAACATAGAATACATGCACATTTCCTTTGATATTGTCAAATAATACTAGGTAACACTCAATCTCATGTTTCATATGGCTAGGATGAAATGTTAGTTCTTATTTGAAAGTTTTGCCCTTTTTGATTACTAAGTGATAATAATGTCATTAGAACTTAATGCTCGCTCTTCTTTGGAGTTCAGATATTTACAAGAAAGTATTGGGTGTAACAGTTACATTATATCAACATTGTCACGTGATATAACCGTTCAATATTAAATCAACAAGCAGACAATGTGACTTCACTTTTTTAACACAAAGTGGTTATTATCTTAGATCGAGGAGTAGTTATTTGAATGAGTGAAGTCTATTTTTCTTATTTGGTGAGTTATCATTGAATAGATACACCACACGACAATATTAACGTGGTGTAAGTATTACACTTAACATTTATTTCATATTTACAGCGGGTTTCTATTATCAGCATATTAAGTTCAATAACATTGTTTGATGTTTAGTGAAGTGCTAGGAAGAATAAAACCCTAGATGATGAAAGGGTGAGTATTATTACCTCTTTTATAATTCTGCATTTACACCACCTTATGACTTAACGCATCATTCGTTATTATGATCCCTCGTGGTTTGGTTTCAAAGAATTGTCAAGATTAAAACTCAAAATTTTTGAATTTAAAACTCGTTTTTATTACCACTTGAATTACCTTTAAGATTGACACAAATTCATTTTCAGGATTGATGAGGGGGAACTCTCATTCCAAGGAAAGCGACTTTGTAACGTGCCTTGAATTATGTCACTGTCTTCTTCTCCGTTCACAGAATTTTTGACCAATAGTTTCTCAATACTGGTTTCTTAGTCGTATACAGATATGAAGATTATTTAAAATTGAAGAAACTTGGAGGATTCAGACGAGCCATTGCTTCATCAACATTCAAATGGTTTGACCCATTTGCTACTGCCATTTTCTTTTTGCTTTTGTATTTGCTAATGAGTACAAAGTAAAAGAAAATACAAACCCTAAGGATAGTTCAAATGATAAAAAAAAACGAGTTGTAAATCTAAACGTCATGGG